ATGCAGTTACGCAGTGTTTTTCTGTGTTTTTCGCAGGGTGTTCAACTCGAAGCCTTAAAGGTTGTTTAATTCTGTAATACGGGTGAAATTCAAATCGGCTTCCGCATTGTTTTAGAACATAAAATTGAAGATTAAAAATGAAATGCAAATACAAGGTACAATGAAAGATTCTTTTAAACTCGATTTGCAATTGAAATACATTTTTTTCTTTTTATTGTTTTGGAAAATTGAAATTGGAAATGAAAAATGAAATGCAAGAAAGTTAGATAGCTAAAGTCTATTTGAATCGAGATATATATATATATATATATCTTTTTTTTATTGTTTTAGAACTTAGAATTGGAGATTAAAAATGAAACGTGAATATGAATACAAGGTACAATTAAAGATCCTTTTGAACTCGATTTGTTTTCGATTTGTTGCTGCACGTTCACTTTAATTTATTTTAAGGTAAATAAAGTAAAATTCTCTTTATCACCGTAATTTATTTTTCATAATTTCTTGAACTGCTAAGATAATTTTTAAGACAATTTGTGTCGTCACCTTCAAAGGGTTGAACATGTTGGTGCTATTGCGATGTTGCAGAAAAATAGAAAAGTTATTATCGACTATTTCTAATGGTTAAAATCGAAAGAAAATTCACACGGATGCGGATACAATTCTACTCATAATCAAGCTTAAAGGATAATGACAAATTTAAAATGATAGAATGATTTACGTGTTTTTAGTCTTTATTTAGTGTCTACATTACATTTATACAAGAGACTATCATAATATGACAAGACAATGCCGATTGTGAAAAATTAACGTGCAACCATAATATTCATAAGTGTCAATTTCTTGTTTGCTATGTTACTTACGATCGGTAATGTATACATAATAGATGTTTGAAGTATCTAACTAATTAACGGTTCATTCCGTACGTTGGAATTATTTAATTTGCTTTGATTTGTTGGATTGAACTCTACGATCATTATTAAAAAAGATGTTTGGACTATTATTATCTGTTTTTTTTTTTTTTTTCTCTCTTGAAAGTACGAACTGACTTGAATCATTACAAGTTGAATTTCAATTACTTGTTTAGATTAGAAACAGTATACCAACAGTGTATTTATATATTTTATATTTCTTTTTTTTTTTTTTTTCATTTATTTCACAGTATCATACTCTGGAACTCGTGTGAACAGAATTAATGAATTGGATTAACAACACTAATTATTTAGAAATATTTGAAATACCAAAAGGCACACAAAAACCTTGAGGTTTCTATCTGAAAATTGTGCTTTTTATAAGTTTTCATGGCAACTCTTTAAATGAGAACGTAGTATATCTTATTCCTGAATATGGCCCTGATAAGATACGAGCGTTGAAAACGCTAGTCGTGAATCGATTTCTCGAAACAAAGTGTAATGACCGAAGAATTGAAAAATGGAAATAATTTTTAATTAAAAATTAAATTAGTAATTGATAATTCAATGACATCGTGTCAATCGCAAATTTACACACACGACTAAAGAAATAGAATCTGCATGTAAGAATTTGTTTCAAAAATATCTAATCTAAAAATCTAATCGCATCGCCGTTAACTTTGCTTTGAAGAATCTCTGATATTTGATAGCTGCGCAGTTGTGTTCAATAAGTCTCACGTTCTTTAATCTTCTAGCAAGTTGTACAAACGAACAAAAACATTGAACTTATAGCTTCGATTTACCAACTGGTATATGGCCGACCTTCGATCGGTAATGTAGGAACGGGCCAGAAATCACCTCCCACTGATAATCAAAATATTTTGATTATACATGGCGGTTAACGTTTGAAAGAAATAATTTTTAAAACGTGACGTTTGAACTTGAATTTAATTAAAGATTTGTTAGAATTAAGTTTTCCTTTGTATTTCTATGTTTTATTAGAAAAAAAAAAAGATGGGAAGAAATTTTTTGTCCACTCTATATAACTTTGTTCGGAATTGAGCAATGTCGCGAAGAGAATTCCTTGCTTGATCAGTGGAGAGAAAAAATAGAGGTAGTCTATAAATAATAAAAGTTTCTAAATAGTAAAAGTCGTGGATAAAATGGAAAACAGTGGCAGCGTTTTATTGGACGTTTTTTGCGGTATTGTATAAACGCAATTTGTAACGGAGCAATGTTGATTGCTACTAATCGCGAGTTTTATTCGTTCGTTACCAGGAAGTTTTGCATACTCGACTCTGCCGAGTGAAAAACTCTCAGAGACTCTCAATCGAAACATGATTATTTGTCGATAGAAATTCATCCGCTTGACGGTCTCTTAGTATAATTAGTATAACATAGTATATATTTTACATATAATAATTAATAAAATAAATATATTAAATATAAAATATAATTAATATATTTCTTCGAAAATAATAATAATAATTAATACAATATAACATAATATATTTCCTTAAAAAAAAAAAAAAAGAATTATTTCTTTATTTTTTTATATTTCTATAATTCTTTGCAACTGGATTTTTTTTTTTTTTTGCTCGCTGCAAGATACATACCTACTGTTTGTTGTTCTCTGTTTAAATCAGATTAGTTGAACATCCGCTTTTTTCTTATCTTTATCTCGTTCGGAAACGTTTCAAAAAAACGTTCGCCACTGCGTTTTTGTCTTCAGTTCGTTGCATTGGCCAACTTGTAAATAAAGTGCACAGTAGAAGGAATTTAATGGCGCGACGAAACGTTTATCAAGTCGGCGCTGCGTCTCTGATAAGCGAGAATTACTTGCTATTAATTATCACTATTAATGCTACCTAAACTTTCAACGGACGTGAAATACGTTTTTCCCAGTGTTCTGCCGGCGAATAATATTTATTTGCCACTTTTTCTTATCCAGTTGATCCAATGAAGACAGACGATTAATGTTCGCGAAGGAAAATGACAAAAAATAGTCGCAAAATTTTTCAAAACGAACGACGAAAGATTCAATCGTCAGATTCAATTATAATAATTAAAAATCAATAAAAAACTCATAATCGATCATTTACCTATAAATTATTTTTTAAACTTGTCTATTAAATTATTTAAACTATATATTTATTTATTTATTATAATATTTAAACTTGATATATATATATCAATTAATGCAAAATCAATCAACTTATTATTTAAATATATATATATATAAAACTTGTAATCAAATCAATTAACTTATTATTTATATATATAAGGTTCTTAAATTATAGTTTAAATAATAAGTTGATTGATTTAATTAAAAGTAATATATATTATATATATATTATATATATTCTATATTATATATATATTATATATATTATATATATTATATATTATATATATTA